AACCCCTCTCTTCAGATTGACAGCGATGTCCTCACAAAATGGGGAACTCCGGGTCGTGAAGTTGTCGGAGCTCACAAAGTATCCTTTTATATTGGGTGGGAATACACTGGTTGCCCAGGCTTCGATTACAGCTTCTGTCTCACCGCAACAAAAAGTTTTATCAAATCGATGAACGTAAGACATACGGCATTTTGTATTTTCGCGATACTTCGATGAGTCTGCACAGGTGCTGAGAGAACCGCAGGATCATCATATAAGAAAAGCACGAAGTTCAGAACTTGTAGAAATCGGCTATTGGGAACCTCATTTATAAAGGGGAGATCAACCAGTCATGACGAAGTAAGACTATATCTTGGGGCTGTAATATAGTATATTTGGTTGAAACATGAGCTTCCGTCTACGTCGTTGCTTCTTCCGTATTTCGTCGGCATGGATCTTAGTTTTCGTAATCACGTATGCGAAACTTGCTACTTAGTAACCATAACCATGGCTAGCGCTTCCTCCACCCTACATTTGTGGCCACAATGCAGTTCAATTATTACAGAATGTACGTGCCCTTTTGCCGACCTATGTATCACGGTTCGGGCTTCAGTGCAAAGGGAGCACTACCAAGCTAACAGATATCTACGGGGAGAACATCATCTTCCAGGTGACATGAAAAATTCGAAAAGGAAAATTTTTTTCGAAGAAATTCCAAGGTTAGATTGGAAGATGGAGTCGGATTCGGAGGCGCTCTGTTCAACCATGGAAGAGGTCCCGTATTTTACCACCGGAAAAATGACGGCCATGCTCGGCTTTGCCCAACCGACTCTTCCATGGAATGGAAAAGCTCGGCAAGACAGCAAAACTTGGTCTATGGGTTACACTATGTCCCGCTTATGACCTCTTGAAGAGGTTAAACATGTGCACTTCTCTCTCTAAGAGGAAAATCAATTCCTGGAATCGGTGATCACTGAACATAAGAAATGATTCCCCTACGAGAATACGGTGGGAAAGGGACATAAGGTAAATGGAGTGAAGCCAGATTCCGTTCCAAAAGCCAGCCCTCAATTCAAAAAGGTTCTCCTTGTGTAGGTGGTTCAGAAGAGGCATGGAGCGCTGGGAACAGCTGGAGAAGGGGAAGGTGCTCAACAGCGTCACATACGTCACGCAGCTGAGGAAACTGAAAGCTCACGTCGATCGCAAGCATTTACCAAATGCAGTAATCCACTTCCACCATGACTACCCTAGACTTAATACTGCGAAGACGACCCAGGTCCAGCTGAAGAAGTATTGCTGGCTGCTGTCAGCTAGATCCCCTACAGCCCTGACCTCGTCCGTTGTGACTAATGGCTGTTCAGCCAGCTGCAAGTCTCGCTGTCTATCAAGTTCCAACCCCCCTCATTCAGGGAGTAGGGAATCGAGAAGCTGCCTGAGCGTCGGTTCCAGTAGTGGGTGATAATGATGCAAACCTCTCTTCATCAGTCCGCTTCGTTTTTGGAATATGTACAAAAAANAAAAAAGTGGGGGCGGAAAAATTATGAATTAATATAATATTAGTGAGAAGGAGGTGGAAAGGAGAAGGAAGAAACAAGGAAAGAGAAGGCAAAAGGAGAAAGGAAAAAGGAAGAAGAAAGATGGAAGAAACAGGAAGGAAGACGGGAGGTAGATACAACCCTATTTGAGTGAATGACTGGAACAACTACTGAGAAATATGTAGTATGTATGTATTAACCTGGACCTCATGGGCCACAGAGAAACTTCATCAATTTGGCTGAATCCGCACAAGACGGATTTCATGGTCCCGTGAATGTCTTACTCATTGTCAGTAACCTGAAGATACACTCGAGCGCCTGGCTACTTTCATAGCCCGACTATGAAAGCAGCCCCTTCAAACACCCGTCACATATACGACGCAACAAAAAGGTATACGGGAGTGAAGCCCGCGGAGTACGTGGTGGTGCACTAGGGGGTTAATGTATCACGCCTTCACGGGACAGAGAGACTTCAGGAGGCGTTGAAATCTCTCTAGTTGTATCCACAGCCCATATTTGGTAATCCCATTCAAAACATGGAGGGATTGTGGGAAAAGGAAAGATTCTAGCTTCATCGATATTCTTTGATCGGAGAATAGTGCGGTTAGATACGTCCCAGTTTCGTCATCCTTACTCCAGAAGTTGTGTTAGAAACCGCAAACGAACATGAGCAGAATAAAAATCAACGCGGAATATTCAAATTTGACTTCGTAAAATGAGGACACGCCCGGCAAGTTCTTCATGAGTTGGATCAACGTGTAAGAGGCTCGGGCTGGGAGGCATTCTCTGAGCGTAATGTATGAAAAGTCGAGATGATGACCGCAAGGCTCATTCTGCCCATGTAGAGCGTGTAGATGGAATCAAGCGTTGAATAGTGGAACACAGGGATTGGACCATTATTGAACTCCCTCGCAAAAACTGAACTCGGCTAAGGCGGTCGACCGAATTGAAGGCTGTCAGGGAGATATGTGCGTAAGCGCCTCATTTTCCTCAGATGGAACCGTTTGAACCGCAGTTATCAATGCAGTAACAATCTTCTAAGCCCCCGAAGTAATCAGCCACTTTCAAAGTGGAGGTCTGCTACAGGAGAAACAAAGTAACGGACGGGAGTAACGAGTTTGTTCACTGAACGTCAAACAGACAAGCGCCTGGTTTCTAAGGATGCATAATAATAGAAGCCACTGTTCCGAGCGGACACTGCTCATGATCATAAAATTTTATTGGATGATGTTTTAGCAACGTTATTTTAAGAGAAAGACCGTCACTACTTGGGTGTTCGGTCAGTCTCTCGACGACAACATCGGCAAGCACACAATTAGGAAAAGGCCATCATAGCTTACGACTATGGCAAGGCCCACGCGGACCGAATTGTGCGGCAGTTTTTGGAGAAAAGACATCAAATCCTGAGTTCAACCGCCGTATTCGCCGTACATGCTGACATGCGATCTCAACTGTCTTGGTCACCTTAACGCACGTGTCAGTGATAATTGCTTTGGCAATGGGTTGGTTACCGAATCAGACCTAAATGGCATCTTATCCGCATTTGTACCAAAATGCTTCCTGGACGTTGTAAATGGGTGGCTGACAACAATGGAGCATTCTTGAATGAATTATAGAACATTGGCGGCTTATCTCCTTTGCTGCTCAAATTATTGGAAGAAGGTGCAAACTTTTGGACTAAATGACCTAATAGTTTATTTATAATCTAGCCTGAAAACAAATGACCAACGGAAAGGGGAGCCTGCAAAAAAGGAAAAATAGTGTTTCGAATGATAGCACGGGTGAAATCATACGTTCGTGATTGGTAAATTCTTTGTTTATTTTTATTCTCTTTTGGCCTTCTCTAATACTAGCCCTGGCTCGACCCTTTCAGATCTGATCCTAGCGCGTTCGTTCCTGTGCAATCAATTGCGAGGATATCGCCAAGTGGTTGCCGCACGAATTGAGCCTGTAGCATCGCGAGCGTACTAAATTTCCGTTACTTGAGAAGCCATATTTTGCAGCGTCTACTGAAACCTTGAATTTACCTCCAGATTCTGCCCCCCCCCCTTC